CTGGGTCCAGCTGGTCCACACCAGGCCTCCATTCTTCAGGAGCTTCTTCTTTAATCAGCACCATCTGTTCAACATGAGCAGGAACCAGAAACACAATAGTATTCCAACAAAAAGAAATTAAACGAAAAGGGGAGAAAAAGAAGAAAGAAACAGCCTTTATTGTCCATGCAGAGAAATTGAGGTGTGGTAGCAGCAGCAGATACATACATTAATACACAGAAACAGTATTGATATGTGGCATCATCAACTGTAGCAATAAAAGTAGAATTAAAGATAGTAAAAATAAAAAACCAACATAGATCAAAATAAAAATAAGAATTCCTGTACTGGACTATCAAGATGAAAATGAAAAATACAAGCAAGATTCTGTGCAGACAAATATGAAATTACAGGAAAAAAACAGACACAACAGTCATTAATGACAATAACTTTACATTCACATCACTCGTTGTTGCACTGACTGAATATATCTAGAGATAATGATAAGGTTTTAAGTAACAATGCCAACAGAGGTAAATCTGTAAGCATTTTTATCAAATATTACTCTTATTCCAAACTCAAATCATTAGTCATGTAAAAACAAAGCTAGCTAGCTTATCAACAAGTGACGCCACGTTAGACTAACTTTAATATAAAAAAATATTAAAACCAAAAAAAGTATCTTACAAGTTAAGCAAACAATTCCGGGGGTTAGTTGAATGAATAAATATATATTTGAAGTTTATTTTCTTCCGACAGACGTTCGGTAGCTACCGCTAGTTAGCTACATTAGCGGTGAGGGGTCCTGACAGCGCTTAGCTGCCCTCGTTAATGCCGTATTGTTTATGTGACTTCAAAATATCAACACATTTAAACTGTCACATGAAATATTGTTCAGCTGCATTTGTTTCAGGCCAGCTGGAGTTGATAAACCCCATACTAATGCTAATACTACTAATAATAATAATACTCTTATGAAGTAATTACTTTAGTATTGTACTAAGAAAAAAATGTCAGAGCAGCAAATACTTAAAAAACTTATAATAAAAGACATGATAAAAATAATACCATCTTCACAATACCGTTATTTTACTTTTATAGTATTTACTATCATGATTATATTGTTAACTACAACTTTGTTACAAAAATAAGTAAATTATTCTCATAGCAGTTAGAAAGTTTATGGACATGATTTTAAATTAAGATCTCCAAAACCAAACAAAAATGATGTTTAAAATTTATCATTTAATTTACTATTTATTTGATAATATTTTAGACACACTGGCTGATAATAATATCTCAGTTATTATTAAAACTGAACAATGTAAAATAAAACAACCAAAGTTTTATGGCAAATATTCACTCAATTTAACAATTCAACAGTTTCATCATTAACATTAACATACACAATATTTTTCTTGTAACGTTTAGTATACATGAGTGAAAGGAAGCAGGAAGAAGAAAAATCTTGTATAAACCTGCTCTTTCCTCAATAATTACAATTATTTTTTACACTAAATCAAGAATATAAATTGCAAACAATATGTCATTCTCCTCATTGCTTACTCAAAAGTGTATAGATCCAACAAATTCAATTTTTTATGACAGTCTGAACGCGACAAATCAGATTTTTTCAAACCTGACCCAGGCCGTGTCAGTATGTGGTTCTAAATCTGATCACATCTGATATTTTTCAAAGACAAGTCACTGTGATTAAATCTGTAGCTCCATGTTGTTTACAGCTCCAAAACAAAAGTTGCTTTATCTTTTTACTTTTAATCTTCATGTAGATAGTATGATAATAACGTCCAGCCTCAGTCACGGAGCGTATCGACCCTAAAGTTACTTGGTCGATACTTTATTTCCAGCTCAATATTTCGTGGATACCGTTTACCGCCGCCTACCAGAAGCGGTGTGCAGTGGTTTGTGGGATTGATTGTGGGCAAACAAAGAAAAGTAAACGATGGGACAGGTTATAAAAGTTTAAAGTTTGGATTGTTGCACATTTTAAAATGTTTATTTTAGTTTGTGAGGTACCAACTTTTAATCAGAAAAAGGACAAACTCGTCCAGAACTTTTACCTGCTCAAACGTTGGAATTAGTGCCTAAAATCACAACCTGGAGATGCAAAATAGAGGTAAGGTTATACTACATCAATATGTTTACTCTTATGAAGTAATTACTATCGTATGACACTATATTAAATCTATTGCCAGAGAAAATCCCAGTATAGAGATCATATTAATAACAGCATTATGACCAGTGGGGCTGGGTGATAAACTTTTAATCTAAATATAATCTTGAGGCAGGCTGACCTATCATTTACTAAATTCTGAGTATAAAATGTCCTTCTTGGCCACACATCAAATTTGGCTTAAATATACATTCAAAATACACATTTTTGTTTTAACAGTGGTAAATGCATTTGTTATTGTGATCGGTAGCTTTCTGTACGGTGTATATTATTGTTAAATAAACCGTACACAAATATATGGTCAAGTTTTTTAGATATTATATTAGATATTTGTAATATTAAGTGGTCAAAATGATCTGTAGTCAGGAAATGTTTATATGCGGCCCAGATCGCTGTAAACCACATCAACATATTTAGTATAAGATCTACTAGACCGAGTGGGACAATCTTGTGTTTTCATTATTCTAAATATTTTAACTTGTTTTCATCTATCTGTGATTATTGTTGCACAAATACACAGGTAAAACACAGTACACCACCCATTTCAGTCATTTAATTCTGATCTATATGTGACATATCAGCTAGCTATATTAAAAAATTTCCAACAGTAACATCAATCAATCAATCAATCAATCAATCAATCAATCAATCACCTTTATTTAACCAAGTAGAAAACCCATTGAGATCAGGGTCTTTTACAAGGGTGACCTGGTCAAGAAGTCCACACGACACGTCACAGAGTCCATTAGAGTTAAGATTAAAGTTAAAGTACAACAATTCAAAATACAAGTTGTTATGAAAACAGGTGAAGACATTCAGTCATTTAGACGTACAGAATACAGTAATTCCCAAATTACGTCCTAATGATTTTCATTTCTTAAAAGTGAATAGTGTGACATTAATCAAACACTTTTGATTACAGAATCAAACAAAATAGTAAAAACTCAAAAAGAAGTCAGATGAGAAATCAACACTAACAACTACAAGTAGAGACTAGAAAACAAATGCACGGATCAAACTTCTTTTTAATGTTATCAGTGAGGATCGACAAGACGGATCTAAGAGAGATGAGTGTTAACAATTTTAGATCCGTCTGTACATTGTTCCAGGCTGAGGGGGCAGCGAAGCTGAACACTTTTTTCCCAAGTTCAGTTCTGACAGGAGGAACTGACAGGAGGACTCGATCGTTGGAGCGCAGGGAATATTTACTGTTTGATGTTTGTATTAATGTGGTAAAATACGACAGGACAAGGTTCAGGAGGGTCTTATAGACGAAGGATATCCAGTGAGTGTATCTGCGAACTGCGAGAGATGACCAGCCTATGTTACAACAGTAACACAACAAATATATGTAAATTATTCTAACAGCAGTTAGAAAGTTAGGGATATGAGTTCGTATTAAGATCTGCAAAATCAAACAAAAATTGTCTGTAGAATTCAGCATTCAGTTTACTAATTAATTGATATTTTAGACACACTGGCTGATACTGATATCTCAGGTGCTATTGAAACTGAACAATGTGAAATAAAAGAACAAAAGTTTTCATGGCAAATAAACTCTATTACATCTGCATTTTATCCCTCTTTTGAACCAACCCTTCTCTGTCAGCTGCCGTTGTCCTTTCTCTGAAACACAAATTCAGACAGTTTGGTAGAGGAGCAGTGAAGGGGGCGGGTCTTCAAGCTGGGAATGGGAGGGACTACGATGCGTTTAAAGAAGCTGAAAAAAACTGAATTCCTACTGAATTATTTACAGTCAGTTATAAAATAGGACTAAAAATTCTACTTCGTACTTTTTGGCATTACATAATGCAAAAGAGTCTGATCTATACGTGACATATCAGTCAGCCATATTTAAATATTTACAAAATACATAAAACAGTAACTGACATTTTAGATCGTATTTTCTCACTACATAAACTATTAAACTTTGGAACTGTGTGTGTGTTCAGTTGTGTGTGACCTCATGTGGATCTTTAGGAGCTGTTGTGTTTTTTACAGCTAAACACTTTTCTCCTGTGTGAATTCTCATGTGGGAGTTTAAATGTGACTTTCGACTAAATCTTCTTCCACAAACTTCACAAGGAAACTGTTTGTGTCCAGTGTGGATGCTCATGTGGGCATCTAAACTCGTCTTATGGCCAAATCTTTGTCCACAAATACCACACGGAAAAGGTTTGTCTCCTGTGTGAATTCTCATGTGGTTGTTTAAATGTGACCTTTGTCTAAATTTTTGTCCACAAACTTCACAGGGAAATGGTTTTTCCTTTGTGTGGATTCTTGTGTGTAAGTTTAAAATTGACTTTTGTCTAAACCTTTTTCCACAAAGTTCACAAGGATACGGTTTGTCTCCTGTGTGGATTCTCATGTGTCTGTACAAACTACACTTACGCCTAAATATTTGTCCACATACATCACAAGGGAATGGTTTTTCTCCTGTGTGGATTCTCTTGTGTTTGTTCAAACTACATTTTTGCCTAAACATCTGACCACAAACTTCACAGGGAAACTGTTTGTCTCCAGTGTGGATTCTCATGTGGGTGTTTTTATATGACATTTGGCTGAATCTTTGTCCACAAATATCACAAGGAAACGGTTTGTCTTCTGTGTGGATTCTCATGTGTCTGTACAAACTACACTTATGCCTAAATATTTGTCCACAAACATCACAAGGGAATGGTTTTTCTCCTGTGTGGATTCTCTTGTGTTTGTTCAAACTACTTTTTAGGCTAAACCTCTGACCACAAACTTCACAAGGAAACTGTTTGTCTCCAGTGTGGATTCTCATGTGGGTGTTTGTATGTGACATTCGGTTGAATCGTTGTCCACGAACATCAGACGGAAATGGTTTGTCTCCTGTGTGGATTCTCATGTGGGTGTTTGTATGTGACATTCGGTTGAATCGTTGTCCACGAACATCAGACGGAAATGGTTTGTCTCCTGTGTGGATTCTCATGTGGGTGATTTTATGACACTTTAGCCTAAATTTTTGTCCACAAACATCACAAGGGAATGGTTTTTCTCCTGTGTGGATTCTCTTGTGTTTGTTCAAACTACTTTTTAGGCTAAACCTCTGACCACAAACTTCACAACAAAATGGTTTGTCTCCAGTGTGGATTCTCATGTGGGTGGTTACACTTGACTTATAGCTAAAACTTTGTCCACAAACACCACAAACAAACTGTTTGTCTCCTGTCTGATCATTGCTGCAGGTCTCTCTATTTTTTATTCCTCTGTTCTTGTTGTTGTGTTGGTAGTCCACATCCTGGTCCTCTTCATAATCCTCACTG